TGATTTTGATTCTGAGGAGATCCACTCAGCCTTTAAGCTCAGAAGGTTCTGAACCTTATCTTGCCATTCATGAGTTTTCAACAATGTGTTACTCCTGCAGAGAGCTGAAACAGCAAAGAGAAAGAATAAGCCTGTAGCAGAGCCTGGCAAGAGATGGGAATCATTCACTGGAAAAAATCCCAATCTAGATAAGTCATTTTTTCTTAAAATAAGTGCATTTGTTGTTGGATTGAGGAGGTAAAAGAGACTTTTTGCCAACCGAACGAGACAATTTACACTTAAAATAAGAAAACACAATTGCATTGTCTTATTTCAAGTGCATATTATCCAATTATCTTATTTTAAGAGTAAAAATACTCATTCCATTGGCAAACTATCTCATTTATCTACTCAATTTAAGGATATATACACTTAATTTAAGACATTTTTACTTATTTCTAGATCGTTTTCCCATCATGTCCGTGTGATATGTCTCTACACTGCAAAAAACCATCTAGAAATGGGTAAAAAAAATATTAAATTAAGTGTATTTACCCTGCATTTGAGTAGGTAAATGGAATGGGTATGTTTACCACTAGAATAAGATAATTAGATAATGTACTTGAGATTAGACAATGCAATTGTTTTTTTCTTATTTTAAATGTAACTTGTCTTGTTCCATTAGCAAAGTGTTTCACTTACCTCCTCAACTCAAGACGAAATGCACCTAATTTAAGCAAAAATGAATTATTTAGATTTCCATGTTTTGCAGTGTATTAGAGTGTTTTGCAGAGGGGGTCTGCAGGCAGAAAACCAGCATGGGCAGTGGTCCCCAATGTCCAAAATTAATACCGTGGGTTATGGCAAAACACATAAAAGGTTTTAGTTTAACAAATCAGTAATGAGCTAAGTGAATAAGCATATGGGATAAAGATAGGATTGATACCAGCTTTATTTGGCATTAGAGTTGCAGACATTTTGTTTTTTCTCTCTAACTGCTTCCTATGTGTGAAGGTTGCCTCACAGAAGGAACATAAGCTCAACGGGAAGGTGATTGATCCCAAAAAAGCAAAGGCCATGAAGAGCAAGGAGCCGGTAAAGAAGATCTTTGTCGGTGGGCTGTCCCCAGATACTCCTGAAGAGAAAGTCCAAGAGTATTTTGGTGCCTTCGGAGAGGTATGTTTTCTTACCCCATGAATGCGCTCCTGGGTTAATGTCTTTCTTCTTAAATCCACTGAACGTTACATCCATGCTATAAAAATGATCAGGTGGAGTCCATTGAGCTTCCCATGGAGACCAAAACAAACAAAAGAAGGGGCTTCTGCTTCATCACGTTCAAAGAGGAGGAACCAGTGAAGATGATCATGGAGAAAAAGTACCACAACATCGGGCTCAGCAAGGTTCAGTCTGTTTTATTTATCCTTCCGTATATTCACGTATCTGTGGCTTCAAAGACACTAATAAGGAAGTCTGACTGGCTCCTCCAGTGTGAAGTAAAGGTGGCCGTGTCCAAGGAGCAGTACCAGCAGCAGCAGTACTGGGGAGGAAGAGGAGGATACTCATCCAGGGCCCGAGGGAGGGGTGGTGGTAAGTTTCTCAGTTTAAAAAAGAGGTGAACTAGAGCTGATGGTTGCATGCATCTCCCCCTAGTGGTCAGAAGAGGAGATGATTTATGCTTAAAATATCTTATTCAGAGTGTTTAATATCTACTTATCATATTTTAAGGGCAAAATACGGCAGATCATTTTGATTACATATTTAATTTAAGGAATTGTTCCTTATTTTTATATCAGATTTTGCAGTGTTCTGTTTGATTTACAGGTATGCCAGAAACAGGGAATTCGAAGGTCCCTGCTCAGGACTTAAAGGGGAACGCCTATTTTTTTACATTGGCCCCTTGATTTTATGTTATTACGTCATGTTTTACTCACCCATATGAGTTTACGCTCTACCCCTTCTATTCATTCTAGCTAATCTGAATCATTCATTTCCATTTAGAGAGCGAGATCATCTGTGGTAGCAGCACTAGACATCTTCCAGACGTGAGTAAAACTAGCAGCAGTTCAGCGGACAGAAAGAATGAATGGTAGCCAGTGCGCGCGGATGACGTCATACACGCGCCGATTCGTTTTTAAAAGAGCTAAATATAAAAAATATAGTGATTCGCCTGCATGTTATGAATGCTGGTGTACCATAAAGAATAAATTCTGAACAGTTTAGTTTGTGCCTTCAAGTCGTTGCCCATAGGAAGACGTTACTTGGATATAACCTAACTGAATATCTTCAGAACAGCTCCAAATGACACAAAACTCATATGGGTGAGTAGAACATGATGTAATAACGTTAAATCAAGGAGCCAATGTAAAAAAAAAAAAAATGCTGTTCCCCTTTAAGTATTAAAAAAAAAATAATAATAATCTAAATGAATTGCATACCTTTTTTTAAGGCCTTACAAATCTACATAATTTATGAATCAAAATTAACATGTCGAAAGTGGCGGCCCTAATTCCTTTCTTTATGTTCGGTTGTCTTTGTGATCATAGATCACAAAACCAATTTCCTATATTTGTAAAAATATTCTTGTAATGAAGACTTTCTAATTTGAAAAAATAGAATAAAAACTATTAGTAATGGTGCTTTTAAAGTTCAAATTTCATATCATACAGACATGAACATAGGAAAGTTTAGAAAAATAGAAATGTAGTCACGCCGATGGGGAAACACTACAAAAAATGTAAATCTAAATAAGTAATTTTTTTCTTAAAATTTTTGCATTTTTTTCTTAAATTGAGGAGGTAAGTTAGGCACTTTGCCAATGAAATGGCAATGTACAGTTAAAATAAGAAAAAAACAACTGCATTGTCTTATTTCAAGTGAATATTATCTAATTGTCTTATTCTAAATGTAAAAATACTCATTAGCAAAATAGTTTTTTACTTATATCTAGGTCGTTTTTGCAGTGCATTCAGGCGTGTCGTCAGCAAAGCAAAGCACCTTCAAAAACGCACAGATTCAGGCTGACATACAAACCTTTTTTTTTTTTATTCATCCGCAGGTCCAAACCAAAACTGGAACCAGGGTTATGGTAACTACTGGAATCCGGGATATGGGAATTATGGAAATTATGGGTATGGTAATCAAGGATATGGTGGATATGGAGGCTATGATTACTCTGGTTACAACAATTATTACGGATATACCGACTACAACAGTGAGTATCAGCGGAGCCGTCCGGTATTTCATTTTGCGTTTTGGAAAGCTGCGATGGTTTGACGGGTGAATTTTGGCTGTTGCAGATCAATCTGGTGGATATGGGAAGTCACCACGGCGTGGTGGTCACACCAACAGTTACAAGCCGTATTAAAGGTGGAAACCCTCAACTCCTACTAGGTATGTAGCACCAACAATATACGTAAAAAAATAACAAAGCAACTTGAATTAGCTTTTTTTTTTTGTAATATTAGTGTAAGTTATTTTTTTCACGTAAATTTGTTTTTCTGAAGTGTTTTACAGTAGTTAACATAAAGGCTTGTGGCGATAATTTAAAGCAGCCGGCCTTCTGCTGCCTCTTTTTTTGTTGTTACATCTTCTCTTTGTGTTTTGGTTGTTTTTCTTTTTAAGCTGTAAAGTTAACAGGTAAACTACTACAGTAAATGGATGCCAAAGTTAAAGGATGTGCAAAAGGAAACAGAAAAGAAAAGAAAAGGAAAAAAGTGTGTTGTGTCCTAACTCTGACATACCTTGTTTGTACCTGCCAGCGGAGCTTCCTTGCAGGCCATGAGCTGACTCCCAGATACTCTCAGGGCCCGCTCAATGCGGACCGGGTATGAGAAGCATACGCTCTCGAATGCTGCCGTTTGGTATGGTCTTCCAACATCCTGTATCCGCATTTCTAAACTAAACAATAGGGGAACACGTCCAGCTTTTGTCGTCTTTCTTTCCATTTTTTTAATTTCTCTCTCTTTTTTAATTTCTCTGAAACTGTAATGTAATGTAAAAAGTTAAAATCTACACATGTAATTGTCATTTTTTTACAGGCCCTTACTCCCCCACAAGTAATGATTATACATATGAATAAATAACAATTTGCTTTTCAAAGGATACATACAGACTTCTCTGGATTTTCCAGTTCCCTAATGTTAATATATGTATTTAAAATGCTTGTTTCTTTATTTAGCTAGTAGACCATGAGCTTAAAGCTGGTTCGTTTTTGGACTCTACCGAGTTGGGGGATAAAGTGCTTTAATTTGTGTAAATGTATTGTTCCTGTTTTTTTTTTTTTTTTTTTTTTACTGACAGCGATGGAAAAGACTCCTCTTTTTCTTTTTGTTAATTTCCCTGTAACACATCTTCTTCTTATATCCACTGATTTTAAAAAACATAAAAAAAAAACATACATACACTCAATCAAAATGTCATAATTCCAGAAATTTGCATGTAATGCTCTCTATAATGTGTATTTATTTATTTTTTATAAATCTGAAAGCTTTTTCCATTTAGTATTTTGGTTTTTGACTTCCTCTTCTGGATTTCTAGCTTAATTGCAAAATTGTTCTTTCTATTATCATTTTTAAGATGTAAACTGTTAAAATAATTCTCCTCAGCTTGTAATTCTTACTGCTTTTATCATATAGGGTATTAAAGACAGGGGATTCCTATCTTTCTTTAAGTAAGTCTGCAGATGGGCGCTCACCTTTAGCTGACTTGTTTCTGTTTGTTTCCCGCAGGTTTCAGAGCGATTAAAAGGCTGCAGTGCGCTGGTGAAGCCACACAGATGATCCAGCAAAGACTCGACTAGTTTATCAAAGTATATGAAGACTGCTTTGACCTACAGTATATTTCTCCTGTATTCACTGAAGTATTTTTTTTTTGTTTTGCTTGCTACAGAGGTTTAGCATTGTTCACCTTCCTCATTCTTTCTTGATCCGTGTTTAAATTTCTCCAAGGCTGCTTGTCACTCTTCACGTATTCCCGACAAAAAAGTAGTTTTGGTTTCAAAAAAAGATCAGCAGAGACCAGAGCACAGTTTACCTGCTTTATGGTGTTCATCATCAGTCATATAATACAAATATTCTTACAGTTTGACATGAATAAACATACATTATGTACATGTTATCTATTGGACATTGAAATGATCAAAATAAAAATAAAAAAAGCAACAAAAAGAACTTGTCTGCGTTCTTTGAGCATGGATTAAGTGATTTTTTTTAATATATCTGCATTGAATGTGGAGTGTTTTGGTTTTATGTCAGCACGTTATGGTTCCCATTCTCGCATCGTCGGGGATCTTCATGAATTACCACGTGCTGTTTAAATTCATGTGTGCAAATGATTGTCTGGTGGCGGTTTGGAGGGGGAGGGGTTAAATGACTTTGGTGGCAGCCAGGATTATGAGTATCAGGATAATCAGCACAATTACGCCGATGATGATCATCAGTTTAATGTTCTTCCACCAGTATTTCCGGGCGACCCGTGTGGATGTTTTCTGGAAGGAGTCGGCCTGGAAAGGAAGGTGAGTTATTATAATTGACTTGATGAAGGAAATTCGAGTCTATAGCATAAACTAAACCTACGTTTAGAGAGGTGGTGTTTTACAAGAGAGACATAAAACTGGTGTAAAAGAACCATAAAGGAAAATGAAAGAAATCAGAAAATAGTAATTTAAGAGAAAAAGAAATTTGATGATAGATCAATTTAATCTGACAGTTCCTGTTCAAGTGGTTTAGGATATAGAGGGAATTTTGTTCCATTATTGTACCAAGAAAAGAACATGTTTTATAAATGGAAATATGGAGAAATGCACTCCGTAAATGAATGCAAATTTTGAGATATTTTCTCAAATTGTATCTAAAAAAAAAAAAAATAATTGAAACATTTTTAACATTCTATTTTTTTTTTAATATACCTTATCTTTTTTCCCTCTTTTTTAATTTCTCTTTGCCAGATTGAGTTTTTTTAAATTGCATTCTTTTCAAATTATACTTCCCACTTCGAATTCTAGGGGCGGGCTTTCCTCTGGAGAGAGAGAGAGAGGATATAAAGACGCATTTCTATTGGTTGGCATGGATGACAACATTTTTATTGGTACTTGGCAAGTGAGGGCTTGAATAGAAGTGATCTAATCAGTAAACTGCAGTTTGAAAATATTGCAATTCCTAAAACAGAGACATTTGAGAAAATGAAATAATTTGAAAAAATAAATCTGAGAAAACAGCAAAAACCTATTTCTAATTAAAATGCATAAAAACATTTTCCCCTCAAATTTCTATTTAGAAAACAGACTCTCTGCCTGCAGCAATAAGATCAACTTCCCTCCATAGAAAACAGTTCTCTGTTCAAACCAGAGGGAGCATAGAAAGTTGTGACATCATGGGATCATATTCTCTACCTGCTGTTTAGATAACAAGTAAGAAGCAATAAAGCAGGGATGGATTTATAGATAAAGAAGTGCCAGTGGAAAACCCAGCTAACTGATGATGGGACAAATACTGATTCCACTTATGAATCCTAGTATATAAACCATTTTATATCCCTATAAACATATTTGTTGTTTTATACCGGTTCAAGGATTTGCAAATGTCTGGAGCACAATTTAGTAACAAGAAAATTCAGAGTGCTGCAAATAAAACATAAGAAAACAGAAAAAAGGTCACTGCGGTGGCATAAAAATAGGCAAGTAAAGAAACGCTGGACTCCAAATTTAAATTCATGATGTTTAACTAGAACAGTTAAAGGCAACTTGATTTAAAGCAGCTTAGGATTTTATTACTTCAACAGCTTAGGAACTAAAATATGCTTCTCCTTGTTTGGTTCTGGGATTGCTGAGTAGCTTTGAGCAAGAATGTGTTGTTTTAAAGCAATTCAATTATTTTCGATTTTTAAGTGTGTTATCTGTGACAGGGAGCCGGTGCAATGTTTTAGAACTGGAAAGATGTGCTCCACTTTTTTAGCTTTAGTGAGGAAGCAGGCAGCAGCTTTCTGGATCAGCTGCAGCTGTCTGATCGTCTTTATAGGCAGACCTGTGAAGACGCTGCTACAGTAATATAGTCAACTAAAGACAAATGCATCAACGAGTTATAGAGTTATAGATTTTTAGGTGATAGAAGGCCAACTTTGTTACTGTCTTTATGTTCCTCTGGAGGTTCAAAAAAGTGCAGTTTTGTTTTAAATCAGCAAAAAACAAATTTTGAGGCTTCCTGTTTTTATTTTAAGAAGAAGGGACCCAAACAGGATTGCATCAAAGCTTAGGGACAAACTGAAATGCCAGCAAAGATGGAACGTTTCAGGGATGCCTACAAATATTCATAATTTAAATTCTAAATAACAGTTTGTTTACATTCATGAAGCACACTAAAAGATTATGCTACTGCATGCATCGCTTCTAGAGATTTTCTGTCCATCAGCTCATCGAAAACATCCGCAAATACCCTCAGTGTTTAGGTGCTGTTGAGTTAAAGGGCTAAATGTGATTCCCCAGAACAGCTTGCTGGGTGTTATTGAACTGTAGAAATGCAATTAGGTTTCCTACAAACTAAAAATACTCATTTTGGAGATTAGAACTTTTCCAGGTTATACATGTAAATAGGGTAAATTAGTGTTTTTGATCACCTGCAAACCCCTTACAAATGGAGTCACCCCCCATCCCTTAGTGAGGTCTAGAAGCACAAGATCTATATCTAGCCATTCAGCAAAGATACTGGCTGTACATCTTGTTTTGGCATTTGACCGATTAGATGAGCCCTTGAAAGATATATTACCTACTGTAATTTAAGTTTAAAAAAAATGTAACAAGTCAAGAAAAAAGGTAGTAAAAAGTTAATAATCCTAGTTAACAATCAGAGATGGCAAAAGTACTCACTTTCCGTACTTGAGTAAAAGTACAGATACTTGTGTTAGAAAATACTCTGGTAAAAGTGGAAGTACTGATTAAACTTCTTTACTCAAGTAAAAGTAACAAAGTACAGGCTTGTAAATGTACTTAAAGTATAAAAGTAAAAGTAGAAACCACTTTTTTCATGCCGTTGCCTACATTTTAAATGGATGTCTGCCAATAGGACTAGATCTCCATTGTGTTCATTTTCAATCATCTCGTCGTCCATGCTACTATGCTAACGCCACCGCCACCAAGCTGCAATGATTTGCCGCGAATGAATACCGCCGAATCTGTCGATTCATCTTGTAGTGGTGCGTCAAATGCAACGTAGATTCCCATCCAATTAGATTGAATTTGGTATTGATGACGTGAAAAATAATAACTGTAACTCCATTGAAATGATTCAAAACTAAAGTAACGAGCCAATTTTTCAAAATGTAAGGAGTAGAAAGTACAGATATTTGTGTAAAAATGTAAGAAGTAGAAGTAAAAAGTCGCCATAAAAATAAGTAGTAAAGTAAAGTAAAAATATCAGAAAAATCTACTTGAGTACAGTAACGAAGTATTTGTACTTCGTTACTTCCCATCTCTGTTAACAATTACATCTAGGTTCATAAACTAAAGAATGTAAGTGCCAGTATCAGCATTAATGCCTCTAAGGTTATGTTGTACCCAAAAAAGTTTTTCTTTCACTCTGAGTGTTTTTTTTTATTAATTTCTTATAGAAGCACTTTTGCTATTTTTCTTCATATATTCGGGCAAGTTGGCGTTTCTTATTATATTTATTACATTATCTTTGCCATCAAAATATCCATATTTTTTAATGTTACAAAGGTTATAAGGTCTGGTCCTGGATTCCAATAACACTATTGGCTTAAAGTTTTGATTTTCTAATTATTTCACTGAATGCCCTATAAAGAGGTAGATAGGAAGCATTTTAGGTGGCGCATGTTTCAGTTGCTACTCAGAGCTGAAATGTGAAACAGTGCCATTTATAAGAAGACACAATGTTCACTGCTGCACTGGGGGAAGTGTGAATGTTTAATTTGGAACTTGAAATAAATGAAACGAAGATCCTTGTTGTACAAGTTAGGCTTTTTTTTCACAATCCTCGGCTTTTACTTTGGCTGCTGCACACATGAATCAAGCAACAAACTATTTGTTTAGATTCTGACGATTTTTTTATTAAACTAACAAAACCAGCTCTGTACCGACTCAAACATGTCCCAGAGGGTTTTGAATACATGAAATGCAGACAACCATACTATTAACTTCACTTCCTGTTTAAAATGTCCAGATCACAAAGCATTTCTTCTTTTTTGTTTTGTTTTTACAACCGGTTTATTGGACTCTTAGACCTGATTGAGCCTGAAATCAAGTTTGATGACTGTTTCTTCATCCATAGAAGCCGATAGTTACTGAGCAGAGATAATTACCATGGTGATTTATCATAGTGGGTTTTGGCATTTATTTTGTTTTGGATGATGGCTTTAAATATATCTTTGTTTTTATGGTGTAAAGTCTAAAGTCAATATCTGGGTCCAAACCGCAGCACTGTATTTTTTTTTACGAACACTAAAGCATTAAAGTGATAACAATGTGTGTTAAGCATGTAGAATATTGCTCACAGTGAAGCAAAAGTGGGAGAGAATCCACCTTACTCCTATTATACATGATGCTTTGCATATATTATATAGGGTTGGTTTTTGACCTGCATTATAATAACTTAAACAAAACATTCTTTCAAAAAGGAAATACAGCTTCAAACCTATTTTTGCAAACTGTAAATGGGGTAACCTATTCAAAATTGCACCTTTCTATCAATTCTGTAAAGATTTGGAGGCTAACCATGACATCCGATTACACACAGAGGAAAGTTATTTGCTTATTGAACTCTGTTGCAATGGAAGGAGAATAGAGGTTAAGTAAATTTAATTTAAAACGGAGCAGGCATCGATACTCGGAGAGTAAAGAGCTGTTTTGTTTGCTACTTAAAAGTGTTAACTATGCATGCATTGATGAGTTGACTGGTATGAAAGGACGGTAATACTGTAGTCAATATAAAATAAAATAGAGGTGGTTAGGATACCCCGAAATTAAATTGGTTGATCTGAAACAATGACCTGGTCAGTTTCTGACAAATATGTTGATTGATCTGTATACTGTATATACCTGGATATACTGTATATATATTGTTTATTCGTAATGCACCTTTTTCCTCCCTGTTTGCACCTTCTGTAACTTCTATGCCATTATGTGACGAGTGAATTTCTCCGCTGTGAGATCAATAAAGCTAATATAATCTAATCTAATAAACATTGGTTTAATCGACTAGATTGATTGTTTTTCCAACAAATCTATTCTTACAATGCAGGGTCCTGTAAAACTTCTCCTAAATATATATTTTTGTCAAAAGAAGCCAACATACGGGGATCTCAGTTGTACCTTTCATTTTGATCTTTTTTTCTTAAAGGAATAGTACACCCAAAACATGATTAGCCTTCATTTTCTACTCACCCCCATGCTGAACAACACTCTGGAGTACTTTTTTGATATCTCAAATGCATCTGGAGATCTGGGAGGCTTCTTGCTGTCTGCTGACATTCAAATAATGGAGGTCTATGGCG